TCTTTTTTGGTTGGGTTTCGCTGGCTCCTAAGCAGCTGGCGACTGGGGTACACCGATGGGCCTGGCTTTGTTTCCCGTCACCTCCTGCTGTCCAGTTGTCACCACCCCGTTGCTAGCCTCAAGACCTCTCCAGACTCATGTTCTTACTCATGTGTGCCCGAGTGCGGCTTCCAGGCTCGTGGCGTCGGAGAATGAACCTGGGAAGGCTGAGCTCTCTCCCAGCCCTTTCTAAGTTATCTCCACGGGGTAGAGGCCGGATCGCTTAGTCTCCCAGGCTGGCCGGAGCTGCTCACCCTCCTGCGGGCGCAGCCTCACACGCTGGTCTGCATGGCGGAGTGGACACTGCACAGGAATGAGCACAGTCCCCTTCCCTGTTAGTCTACTGGGCCCTGTTTGCTGCAGCTTCCAAGTTTTCTTTTCTTTTGAGACAGGGATCTTGCTGTGTAGCTCAGGGTGGCCTTGAACACCTTGAGACCCTCCTGTCTCAGCCTCCCAAGGGCTGGGTGACTGGCCTGCAACCCTACACCTGGCTCTGGAGGTTCAGCTTAAAGAACAGCATGAGATAGTGGCTTCCAAGGAGACTGATGGGCCCAGCAAGTGTGGCAGAGTGTGGGCTTGCACCTGCTTGGCTCTGGAAACCCCAGATTAGAGCTTAGCGTTGAAAAGTTTAGGGTTTGCCTGGGCCTGGCTCAGGTCTTGACCCTGAGCTGGGGAAGCTGAGCCCAGCAGCTCAAGGTCAGTTCCGGCTTCGGGGAACCTGTCTCGGAAAAACCCCAGGGGCTCAGAGCAGACACCTGCCCTAGGTGGACACCTGGCCCAGGTGGGCGCTGTCCTGTTATCTTTACAGCTCTGGTTGGGGTCATGTTCTCCAGGGTGTGGTCGGGCTGGGCTCAGCGGGGACAAAGACCTGTCTTTGGCGTCACCACCTCTACTCTGCCACCGGCTCCAGATCAGGAATGTTTAGGTCACTGGGTGAGTAAGGTCATTAAGAGGGGTCTCCAGGCTGGGCATGGTGGCACACACCTGCCCTCCCAGCAGAGGCTGAAGCAGGGAGATGTCTGCCGAGTCTTGGAGCCCAGCATGGGCTGCATAGTGAGTTCAAGGCCAGTCCGAGCTACGTGGGAACCTGTCAGGAAAAACAAAAGCAAATCAGAAAACAAGAAAGTGATTCGTTTTTTTTTTTTTAAAGGTTCCTTGTAAGGGAAGATAAAATGCTACTCTTTGTCTTTCTATTGCTTTTTGATACTAACCATTTTGCTTAAAAATAACACTAATTTGCATCCCGGTAATGCATGCAAATATTTGAAAACCAAAGAAAGCTTAGAAGCTACTGTGGAGTGAAGCAGCCTCCTGCCCCTGCCCAGCTATGAGAGCTGCTTCCCGGCCCTCCAGCTTCCCCCGGGCCATGGGCTTGGGCTACTGTTTGCTTTTTCCTTCTGTGGTGCTGGGGTTCAAACCTAGGGTCCAGTCCGCCTCTTCACTCAGAACCCTCCTGCCTCAGCCTCCTGAGTGCCCCCACCCCTTGCTCCACCAGTTTAGGCACCTGTCGAGCTTCTGGTAGGTTGAGAAGATGCCTTTCCTCACCACCTCCGCTGCTTCCTGCCTCCCAGTGTTTTACTCTGCTCAGAAAGACGATGCTCAGGTGTGAAGTGAGCCATAATGGAGTGCCCTGGAGCGGAAGCTTCACTGACTCCCTGGCAGCTGCTGGAGGTCTGGGAGGGGGCCCGGCTGTCCTGGGCCAGCTTCTCCTCTGCTGCATAGGGGAAGTGGTGGCCGGGATGGGGTTGGGTCTAGAACCCAGGGCAGAGTCAGGCAGTGACTGGGGTGGACAGGTCTCTGTCCAAGGTCCCCAGGGCGAACAGTGACTGCAAGCGATGTCAGCTGGAGATGAGAACACAGCAGCAGGTGTTTCTTGTGAGTTCTTGGAATTTTGGGGACAGGTCTTGGTATATGGCCCGGACTGGGCTCACATTTGCAGTGATCCTCCTGCCTCAGCTTCCCAAGTGCCGGTCAGAGTAGTTTCCGGCATAGCCAGTGCCAGGGAAAGGGACGGACCCCTCTCAGGAGCATGGGCCCCTGGGGGTGTGCCTGTCACATGACCCAGAGGCCTCGAGGCTAGAGCTGGCTGTCCCTCTGAGTCCCTGTTTAGGGAGTCCAAGGCAGGGTAGTGCCATCCTTGTCCTTGCCATGGCCTGGCTGTCCTGTAGGGTGGCTGTTGGTGGCTGTGGGGTCAGTGTAGTGGGCAGGGAGATGGGGCCTGGTGGGTCCAGGTCGGGGCAGGGCTCTGAGCTTAGCTGAGGCATGGACAGCAATGGAGCAACCTAGCCACCTGTCAGGATCAGCCAGCGATTAGGTCTTGAGAGCTTCAAGTCCTCTCTCCCCTTCACAGGTGAGGAAACTGAGGCACAAAGGGGTAAGTGGCTGTCAAAGTGGCCAGGTCCAGGTTCTCCATGGGGCAGCCGTAGGATCCTTGCTGTCTGCTGAAGTAGTGACCCTTATTTATTATTACTGGGGTTTTCTGAGACCTGTGCAGCGCAGGCTGGCCTGGAGCTCACAGGGATCCTCCTGCCTCAGCTTCCTGAGTGTAAAGTGTGGATACTTCAAGGAAGACTCGTGACACGAGAGCAGATGCTCTCCGCAGCCTGCTGTCCACTCTGGATTATCGTCCCATCACCTCCTCCCTTGGGCTTCGAGTTTCCTCTGTCTGAGCTGGTGCCAGGCAGTGCCCTGGCCTCTCTTGGGGCTCCTGACGCATCTCTGGTTTCCGCAGATGAGAGCACAGACAGAACCAGGACTCGGTGGCTGGGGCGGGTCTGACCCCAAGAGCCCCATTGACCACAGGCACCTTGGGAAGTCCAGGAAGCCCTGGGTGACAGCATGTGGCCGTCCTTTCCCTCTGTGTCCTGTTACAGAGAACAAGCTCCCAGGTGCTCTGCCATGGGCCCTCAATGCCAAGATCAGTCCACCAGGTCCCTGAGAGGACCAAGCCACGCCTGAGGCCACCACTATGGCAACCACTCCCCCTGCGGGCTTAGAATTGTTCTTGTTTTCTCTTTTTAAAACTTTTTTTTTTTTGAGACAGGGTGGTTCTGTAGTTAGGTGGGTCTCTTGAACTCATTATGAGGACAGCTGTGCTCACTCCAAGCCATCCTCCTGCCTCTGCCTCCCCAGTGGGGGGGGGGGGCGCGGAGACAGACACAGGTGGGGTCACACACATGTGCACATGCCTGATCAGGAAGGGTTTCTTGAGTCCCTAGGGGCAGCTGGTATCTTCCAGCCCCCCCCCCTGCTGCCCCACCTTCCCTTTCCTCTTTAGCCTCTTCCCACTTCGTGAGGATTACTCTGCACAAAAGCAGCGCTTTCCGCAGAACTGAGGGCGCACTTTAGCTTAATTGGTCCTCTGAAAAGCAGCCTTGGGATGGCGAAATAAAGTGGCCACTTCTAAGATTTTTCTAGTAAAGCCCTGAGAACGAAAGCTGGTTGGCGGCTTCACCTAGGCACTTGGTGCCGGCTCCTTGGGCGCACAGCAGGGCTCTGGTCTGACTACCGCAGCTGCCACGTCACTTAGTGTGAGTGGTCGGCCGACAGCCATGGGTCCTGCTAGACTTGGAAGCCCCGCCTGCTCTTTGACTGTTTTTTGTTTGTTTGTTTGAGGCTCTGTCTCGATGTGTAGCCCAGACCAGCCTTGAGCTCTGAGTGATCCTCCTGCCTCAGCCTCTCACGTACTGAGTTTGTAGGTGTGCACCACCATGCCTGGCCTGGTCCAATGCATCTAAACACTTCCTCTTTTTTTTTGGTTTTTCCTTTTGCAGTGGTATTCAGGACCAACCAAAGGCCTTCACATTGAACTGGCTCCCTAGACTTCCATGTTTTTCTTGTTTTTTTTATGATTTTGTTTGAAAACAGGATCTAACTAAATCCCTAAATTGCCCAGGCTGGGCTCAAACTTGGAATCCTGCCTCAGCCTCCCAGAGGGATGGGATAACAGCCTAGCCTTGCCTGGCTGGAAGCAACCGGGCTACTCTTGGCCACAGCAGCTGGGCCTTGACAGATCTGTGAGTGGTCTGACCGCTCACAGGATGTGTGGATTTCTGCACAGCGAGGTCCTGAGAAACTCAAGGATCCTGACCCAGAGAGGCAGGTGTCAGCCATCCTGCTGGGCTACTCTGCATGGGTGTGGCCTTGGTTTGCTCTTGTTTTGTTTGAGACAGGATCTTGCGTGTAGTTCAGGCTGGCCGTGAACTTGCTGTGTAACCCAGGCTGGTCTAGAACTCATGGAGATGCTCCTGTCTCGGCCTCTGGTGTGCTACAGTTATAGGTGTGTGCCCCTGCTGGCCTTTGTTTTTTTACCGAAGCTGCTCTGCCACAGTTCCTGGCTTCAGCAGGGAGCCTACCCACACTGCTGTCGGAGCCCTGCTGCGCCCTGGTTGCGGCTCTGACTTGCAGCTATTTTTAGTGAGTCCCAAGTGGCAGCCCTGGGGAAGGAGACAGACAGGGTAGCCTGTGGCCCTGAGGATCCGGGAACCGCTTGTGAGCCTGGGTTTCCGATGTTCAGTTCAGGAGCGAGAGCCGAGCACACAGTTGCATCCCGAGACTGCACCAGGGCAGCCGCCATGCTCCCCACCTCCTTCCTGCCTCAGGAGGGGGCGCAGTGGTCTCCTGGCACGGACAGAGGGGTGGACAGAGGAGGCCCGTCTGCAGCCCGAAGGCGTGGGGTTAGGAGTGCTGGGTCCTGGAACACACAGAAGCTGGCCTGAGAGGGAGTTCTTGCCTCACGCACCTCTGTGGCTTTTTTGTTTGGTTTTGAGACAGAATCTCACTGTGCAGTGCAGGCTGAGGCAGGATGGCTGCCAAGAGTTCATGGCCAGCCTGAGCTCATAGTGAGAGGCTGGCTTGGAAGAAAACACAATACCACCAAGCCCTGGATCCCGAACCTATTCGGTGGGGTGTTGGCGGGTCGGGCCCCTCAGGGCTCGTGGTGACAGTGGCTATGCTTCCAGGCAGGATCAAGCCAGCAGCATGGCGCAGTGGAACCAGCTGCAGCAGCTGGACACGCGCTACCTGGAGCAGCTGCACCAGCTATACAGTGACAGCTTCCCCATGGAGCTGCGGCAGTTCCTGGCACCCTGGATCGAGAGCCAGGACTGGTGAGTGCGGGGCAAGGGAGCCGCGGTGGGGCCGGGGCCGGGCCCCAGGACCGGCAGGGGAGCGCTCTGCATGGAAACACTGTCCTAGGTCATTTGGGCCTCACCTCCAGGGAACCTCTGTCTTCTGGTTCTCCAGGGATGTGGCCAAGAAATGTCTTTTTTTGATACTGATTTTTTTCACATACAGGTTACTCAAGTTCCTAGTGCCTGGGAAAATTATTAGGAATTACCAAATTGTCACTGAGCAAGAAAGCTCAAAAACAGCAAGTGAGCTTTGGCAGCAGATCTGCCCTGCTGCGCCACGTTATTTATTTTGTGTCTTTTTGAGCCAGGGTCTCGCTATGTAGTTCAGGCTGGCCTTGGGCTCACTTTGTAGCCCCAGCTAATCTCAAACTCAAAACAGTTCTCCTGCCTCAGCCTCCTAAGTGCTGGGATTATAAGCAGGTGTGCACTGCCATGCCTGGCTCTGCCCTGGTGCTTTTGGTTTCAGTTTCAGTCCTGGTTGCAGAACCTACCCCCTGAGCAGTGAGCTCTATCCCCAGCCCTTTTTAGTTTTTGAGATGGGTTTTTCCTGAGCCAGGGACCTGCCCAGACTGGACTCAAGCTTGCAGTCTCCCAGCCTCAGCCTCCCAGGGCACAGGCCTGAGACCGCACCTCTTGCGCTCCATCCCAGGGCGTATGCAGCCAGCAAGGAGTCCCACGCCACGCTGGTGTTCCACAACCTCCTGGGCGAGATTGACCAGCAGTACAGCCGCTTCCTCCAGGAATCCAATGTTCTCTACCAGCACAACCTGCGCCGCATCAAGCAGTTCCTGCAGGTATGGAGGCGGGGGTCCCTGCCGAGTCCCTCCCGCACCCCGGCACTGTCCCCAGAGGAGGCCCTGTGGCCACTGTCGTGAGCAATCTCCCTGTGTCCATCACGGCTGCCCTCAAGGCCTACCTAGAAATCAGACAGAGGGCAACACAGTCAGCTACCATTTAGGGAGACCAAGGTGACGGTTCAGAGACTCAGGCCCACAGATTTCTATTCCCCTCGTGACACTGGCCCAGTGCTGGCTTTGGACTTGCTGTGTGGCCCAGACTGGCCTGGACCTTGCAGCAGTCCTTCTGCCTCAGCTTCCCAAGTACTGGGATCACAGGCATGTAACCGCCACACCCAGCCAGGCAGAGAAAGCGTTCAGCTTGGCCCCCACAGACCAGGCCAGCCTCAGCTTCCCGTGCTGCCCTCCCTACAGAGCAGGTACCTGGAGAAGCCCATGGAGATTGCACGCATCGTGGCCCGGTGCCTGTGGGAAGAGTCCCGCCTCCTGCAGACGGCGGCCACCGCTGCCCAGGTGAGACCGAGTGAGAGTGGGGTGCGGCCAAGAGATATGGCAAGTCCAATAGCTTGAGACGCAGTCAACACCTGTCACTAGTAAGCTAGAAGATAGAAAACTTCCATTAGATCAAATAGGTTAAAAGGTCAAATAGGTCTATAGCATTGGCCAGGCATACACCTGTAACCCCAGCACATGGGAGGCAGAGGCAGGAGGATCCCTGTAAGTTCCAGGCCAGCCTGGAATACACACTGAGAGCTTGTCTCAAGAAAATGAAACAAAGAAACACCTAGCCAGGTGTGGTGATGCCGGCCTATAATCCAAGTACTTTGAGAGGCTGAGGCAGGAGGATCACAAGTTCAAGCCCAGCCTGGGCAACTGTGAGCTCAGTGAGAAGACCCTGGGTTCAATCCCCACTGCTATAAAAAGCAAAACGAATAAAAAATGTCAAGCTATGAGTCAGGCCTGTTTTGGAGACTTGTGGCAGCAGAGAGGGCCCTGGATGCTGAGATGTTGCGACAGATTTCAGGGACAGACAGGAAGGTGGCGGCCTGGGGGGGACCTGGAGGAATTCGGGTGCCCAAGGGTCCTTTCTTGGAAGCGTGGGTGACCACAGCCTCCCTCCACTCTTGGTTCCATCCTCGGCCACTAACAGGCTTCACGGGGTGCGGACTTGTTGGAGATTATGCCCATCTGTGCAGGGCGTCCTCCCCAGGGCGGGACTTTTCAGATAGGGTCTTGCTGTGTAACCCAGGCTGGCCTGGAACTCATGGTCCTCCTGCCTCAGCCTCCTGAAGCTTCACCTGCAGGCTTCCCCAGGATGCTGGGCTCGAGAGGACAGAAACGTGTTGGACACAATTGCTTTTACCTGTGGCGGTGCTGGGGGTTGAACCCAGAGCCTTTCCACTGAACCACAGCCTCAGCCCTAGCCTGGTCTGTTTTTTATTCTGAGACAGGCTCTTCTTGCCATGCTACCCAGGCAGGACTCCAACTTGTGATCCTCCTGCTTCAGCCTCCCTAGTGCTGGGAGTGCTGGCTTGCATGCCTTGCCAATAGGTGTTGATGTCTGTTATGGCCAGTTGTTCTGGGCTTGCCCATTTGTCTATTTTTAAATTTTTTTGGTAATAGGGGTTGAACTCATGACTTCATATTTGCCAGGCGATCGCTTGTGCCGCTGAGCTAAATCCTCAGCCCTTCCTGATTTATCTTTGCAGAGCTGAGGTTGGTCCTGCTGAGGCATGCGGCTGCCGTCGTGCGGCTGCCCATCCCTGAGTTTCGCTGACTGCTCACTCTGGGCTTGGTGGGACCTGTTGGTTAGCCAGCAACACGGACAGCACTTCACCCCCAGAGCATTCCTGCCTCAGTTTCCCCTCGTGTCCCAGGGCAGCTTCTCCAGGAGTGCAGGAAGGCGGGGTGGAGGCATACTGTTCCCCTCTCCTGTTCCATGGTCATCAGTGCGCATCCCCTTCCGTAGCAGGGAGGCCAGGCCAACCACCCAACAGCGGCCGTGGTGACAGAGAAGCAGCAGATGCTGGAGCAGCACCTGCAGGATGTGCGCAAGCGTGTGCAGGTCAGGGTGGGCGGCCCGGGGTGGGGGCAGCTGGGAACACAGGGACCCCCGGCTGGCCTTACTTCACTTTCATTTCCCCTCCGAACAGGACCTGGAGCAGAAGATGAAGGTGGTAGAGAATCTGCAGGACGATTTTGACTTCAACTACAAAACCCTCAAGAGCCAGGGAGGCAAGTGGGTGCAGAGAGGCCGGGGTGCAGAGGGAGCTCTGTGTTTGTGTAGACTTTGGGGGCTCAGCCCTGGCCAGAGCCTCAGTTTTGCTCTTGGCTTTGTTCTGGGTTTTGCTCTTGGTTTTGGATATGGGGTCTCCTGTGTAGCCCCAGCTGGCCTGGGGCCCGGGCGCCCCTCCTACCTCAGCCTTCCGAGTGCTGGGACCCTGAGCCGTGGTGTCTCCCTGCAGACATGCAGGACCTGAATGGGAACAGCCAGGCCGCCACGCGGCAGAAGATGCAGCAGCTGGAGCAGATGCTGACAGCGCTTGACCAGATGCGCAGGGTAAGGCCTGGGCCGGTGGGTGCTCAGCGGGTGCTATTGGGTGCCTGCGCACCGGCAGCCTCACTGACGCGGCTCCTGGCGCTGACCAGAGCATCGTGAGTGAGCTGGCAGGGCTGCTGTCGGCCATGGAGTACGTGCAGAAGACGCTCACGGACGAGGAGCTGGCCGATTGGAAACGGCGGCAACAGATCGCGTGCATCGGGGGTCCCCCCAACATCTGCCTGGACCGCCTTGAGAACTGGTGAGGCTCAGCACTGCACCCCTTCCCTGTGCTCCAAGACGGGGCTTGAGGAAGGTCCCAGCACTCGATTTCCAGTCTTGGGGGGGGGGGATGGAGCTGTGTGCACTGCCGGATGGCTGCCCAAGCCCCCCGCAGTTCCAGGCCCTGGCCCCAGTGATTGCCATGCTGTGTGCCCCGCAGGATCACCTCACTGGCTGAGTCACAGCTACAGACGCGCCAGCAGATCAAGAAGCTGGAGGAGTTGCAGCAGAAGGTGTCCTATAAGGGCGACCCCATCGTGCAGCACCGGCCCATGCTGGAGGAGCGCATCGTGGAGCTGTTCCGGAACCTGATGAAGAGGTGACCCGGCTGCCCCGCCCAGCTGCCCTCGCTCCCCCACAGCTAGGTTTTCTAGGTCTCCTGACACAGTCCAGGCTGGCCTTGAACTGGGGACTGTCCTCCTGCCTCGGCTTTCTGAGAGCTGGGATTCCCTCTTTTTTTATTGATGTGTATTTATTTAAAGACACAATTCAGATTTGGGGTTTGCAAACTCAGTGTAGTTGCCAGTCTTCTTCATGCATTTGGAGTAGTTGCTTTTCTGTGAGTTTTGTGTTGAGCCTCATGAAAAGGTACTCATTTAAAAAAGAAAGGAAATATTGCCCTGAAGCCAGAGGCTGGGAGCCTCCTCCGGAGGGTCGGGCAGAGCTGACGGCCACGGCCCTTGTAATGAGCTGTGTCGTCCCACCAGTGCCTTTGTGGTGGAACGGCAGCCCTGCATGCCCATGCACCCTGACCGGCCCCTGGTCATCAAGACTGGCGTCCAGTTCACCACAAAAGTCAGGTAGGTGGGCCCGCGCTTCCCTGCCTGCAGTTTTCTCAGGGCTGGTCAGTGTCGCCTTTCCATGGTCTCAAGCCACTCACTTTGTGGCCCTGACCCCAGGAGCTCTGGGCTTCTGGAACCCCAGGGAGCTGGGACCCCAGGTGTGATCACTACCCTGGGCTCAGGCTGCTCTGTGACGCTAGAGTTCAAGCCAGGGACCTGGGCTGGTGGCGCTCTATGGCGGGGAGCAAAAGCCATGGAGGGACCTGGGTTGGGAAGCACCTGGGAAGGCTTTATCACCAGCTGAGTTTCCTTGTTCCACAGGCTGCTGGTCAAGTTCCCGGAGCTGAACTACCAGCTGAAAATCAAAGTGTGCATAGACAAGTGAGTCCCGGGGGCAGAAGAGCTGCATGGGTCAGCCTGGTCCCCAGTGCTGCTCCCCTGCAGGCCTGTGTGGCTGGGATTCCAGTTTGTCTGTCATTGGTGTCCTTTGATCTGTAAATGCCATTTATGCCTCCACTCACTAGAGGGGCAGGAAGAGGGCAGAGCTTCCTGTGTCCCAAGCTGGGGAGGTGGCTTAGGGACAGAGCACAGCCCTGGGTTCAGATCCCAGCACCACCAGGGGAAATAGTTCGCTGTGCTCTGGACCAGTGGTCAGCTCAAGCCATGCACAGCCTTTAAAGCAACGAGAAAGGAAAAAGCCAGGCGCAGTGGAGCATGCCTGTCATCCCAGCATTCAGGAGGCTGAGGCAGGAGGATCCTTGGGAGTTTGAGACCAGCCTGGGCTACAAAGTTAGTTCAAGGCCAGCCTAAACTGCACAGCAAGACCTTGTCTCAAAAAGAAAAAAAAAAAAAAAAGACGGGGAAGGGGAGAAAGCAAGGAAGGAAACAGTGGATGTGCCATCCTTCAGATGACACAAGTCCTGTCCTGAGGACTGAGAGTGAGTCTCAGTGAAGTCAAGGGAGTTGATGATGCTGGTAGGTTTAATAGATAAACAGATGAGAATTGGTAACTTTATAAGAGGCTGAGGCAGGAGGGTCACTGGGAGTTTGAGGACAACCTGGACTACATATTGCAACCCTGTGTCAGAAAAAAAAAAAAAAGATTGGTATCTTTAGCCATGTGTTAGCTTTAAAACAGAAACATGATTCATAATATGCAGCAGAAATTAAAAAAATTAATAACTGTTCTAGGATCTACTGGGAGAAAACTCTTGGGGGGAATGTCATACTTCTGACCTGCAGATGTTAAGTCTTCCTGAGGAGGTGGCACCAGCGGGGATCTGAAGAGGATTCTTTAAAATCTATAAAATGTTTTCCAGGTTTTAGCTTAGCTGAAAAAAATAAGCAGAGATGGCAAACCAAATTGCTGTTTGGTTTTGTTATTGTGTGAGGTCTTGCTGTGTAGCCCAGGCTGGCCTTGAACTTAGGGCAATCCTCCTGCCTCAGCCTCCTGAGTACTAAGATTGTAGGCATGCCCCACCACATCCAGCCAATTTGCTGGTAAATTAAAAAATGTTAGTAGGTAGTAAAACAAAAGGTGCCTAACAAAGTTTGCCATGGTGTTTGTAGGCTGTGAGGGGCACTGAGTGTTCTATTTCGCAGCAGGGCTCCTGGAGGCTTCCATCTCGTGAAACTGAAACTTCCCTGCTGAGGACTCTTCCCCATTTCCCTTTTACAGTGCAGCAGCCTTCTGTGTGTAAAAAGAAAACGAAAGCTGTTTTTTTCTTTTTGAGTCCTGGGGATGAACTTGGGGCCTCACGCACCTGGACAGTGCTGGAACCCCACCCCCATCTGTCCTTCCTTCTTGAGACAGTGTCACTCCAAGCTGCCCCCGCTAAGCTTGCACGTGTTGGCCCCCTGCCTCAGCCTCCTGAGTAGGCGGATGACAGTGAGCAGGCTCCCAGCTCCAAAGCTGATTGGTGATTTTGGGAATTTTGGCTTTTGAGACAGTCTCACTGTGTAGTCCGCACTGGCCTCAAACTCACAGTGATCCTCCTGCCTCAGCCTCCCGTGAGCTGGAGTACCAGGTACGCACTGCGGCCAGCTCTGGTGGTGAAATGCGGAGGATGCCATGGGACGGCTTTAAAATGATCACTTTTCTCCCGTAAGTCCACATAGAAGGTTGTACAGAAATGGAGGAAGCTTTTCCAACGTTAGCCAAAATCTTACACAAGGTAAACCCTGAGAAATGTGCCGACATGAAAGGGAAAGTCCCCCAAAAGAGAGTTCACCTTGGGAAGGATATTTCCAGCCGTCTCAGAGGCAGGCCCCTGGCTGAGCGTGGTGGTGTACATCTGTCATCCTGACACTTGGGAGGCTGAGGCAAGAGGATTGCCCTGAGTTTGAGGCCACGCTGGACTATGTAGCGAGACCCTGGCTTAAAAAGCAAGCAAGGGCCAAGGATTTAGCTCAACGGCACAAGCACCTGCCTGGAAGCGGGAGTCTCGAGTTCAATCCCCAGACCGCCTCCCTAAAAAAAGCAAGACAGTGCACGGACTCCATAGTCCCGGGCGCTGGCCTCATTCCCATCACAATGACAGCAGGGGTCAGTGTGACAGGGCAGGGCTCACTGACCTCCCCTGTCCTCCGCAGGGACTCGGGGGACGTGGCAGCTCTGCGCGGGTAAGTTCCGTGCCCCAAGTCAGCTCTGGGCGGGGTTGCGGGGTCCTGGGGCCCCAGGGCAGCACACTCACCCGGTCCCTCCCCACTCAGCTCCCGCAAGTTCAACATCCTGGGCACCAACACGAAGGTGATGAACATGGAGGAGTCGAACAACGGCAGCCTCTCGGCTGAGTTCAAACACCTGGTGTGTGCCACGCTGCGGCGGTGCCCTCACTCTCCCCTCCCTTTCCCCCTCCTGTCCCTTTGCCCTCCCCTGACCCCACCCCTAGTGTGTCCCCATTGGACCCCGTTCTGAGGGCTGGCGGCTGGGACCATGCTGTTTCTCTTGCAGACGCTCAGGGAGCAGCGTTGTGGGAACGGCGGCCGAGCCAACTGTGATGTGAGTGTCACCGCCAGGGTGGAAATGGCAGGGGCAGAAATGGCAGGGGCAGGTGATGGGGGACTGACTGGCCAGAATCAGGGCCTGGGCCTGTCCTCCTAGCGGTGGTCACTCTGAAGTCACCGTGGGCTCCTCTGGTGCAGAGCACTCCTGGGCATCAGGACACCCTGCATACAGGACAGCAGTCCCCGCAGAGCAGAGTCCGGGCCCATGTGGGTCCTCTCCCTCCCCGTCTGTGGCATTAGCAGCCCAATTCCTTGCTGAGATGGGACAGAGGGTGTCGTGGAATGAGTCTGGGTGAAACCTTCGACCCCAAACCAAGCCGGGCCTGATGGTGCACACCTGTAGTCTCAGCACTTGGAAGCTGAGGCAGGAGGATCACCTCAAGTTTGAGACCAACCTGGGCTACCTAGCAAGACTCTGTCTGAAACAAAACAAAACAGAAAACCCCAAATTTGCCTTCTTCTTTTCTCCCACATGTATTTGTCATCACCCAGTGATTCAGATTATTGGATTCTTAGCATCAAGAAAGAATTTAAAAATCAGCACCCCTGAGATAGTTGCCAGTCACTTTTTAACATTGCAGCCCCTGGGCTGGGGGTGTGACTCAGTAGCAAAGCCTTTACCCAGCATGCACAGTCCCAGAGCTCCACCCGAGGACCCCAGAGGCAGACCCAGGGTTTGAAAAGAGAAGTCTTTGCATAATCGTGGCAGCAGATAAACACCATGTGCCCCGGCAGTCTGACTCTGAGCACTGGGTAACAGCTGGACCCATCTCATCCTCACTATGTGGAGAACTGGTAGTCCTACAGCAGAGTACTATACACTCACGAAAAGTGATACAGTGCAGGAACCCATATCCAGTGAGTAAAATGGGAGCCACAGAGACTGAAGTTCTCAGCTTTCCAACACCTGCCAGCCCAGAATCCGTCAGAGAAACTTGCCAGTCATTATGGAAACCTAGGGACGGTAAACCGCGATGCCTGGAAAGCAGTTACTTCCGCAGGAGGTGGGGGACGCAGCTCAGTATGTGTGGGGCCCAGGCTTGGCCCTGGCTTGTGCATGGGAGGAAAGAGGAGGAGGCGCCATAGGGCACAGGGCCCTGCTGCCCTCTCACAGTCCCCACTGTGTCACAGGCCTCCTTAATCGTGACCGAGGAGTTGCATCTGATCACCTTCGAGACTGAGGTTTACCACCAGGGCCTCAAGATCGACCTGGAGGTATGTGGGCTGGGCTCCTTCCCCAAAACCTCTGCAGTGTCCCCGTCATGCAGGGAGCCCCAAGGGCTTAGCGTGAAGCTCCCTCCTCAGCCAGGGCCCGGCGGCTTTATAAGGTTTGGGCAGAGCAGTCCTGGTAGAGTCCAGGCCCGTAAGGTCTGCCTTCCAGCCTTCTGGCTCTTTAACGCAGACCACAGCCGGCCATTTCAAAGGCAGGGCGTAGTGGCACACGCCTGTCATCCCCACACTGGGAGGCTGAGGCATGAGAATCACAAGAATTCAAGGCCTGCCTGGGCTACATAGGGAGACCCTGTCTCATAGCGGCAGAAGGGAGGCAGCTGGCTCTTGGGTCCCGAGCCCTGTGTTGAGGGGAGCTCCTGACCTTGGGTGTCTGGAGCCCGCCTCAGGAACTCACAATGGGGGGTGGCAGAGGCCAGGGGAGCTTTGCACCAGTGCAGTTCCCAGGTGTGTTTGGCACCATTCCCTATGGCCCCAGGAAAGCCCTGCACTGCGCCCTTGCTCCGAGGACTCAAGCTAGGCTGGGCAGGCTGGGGGTGCAGGCGCTGACCACAGCCCTGCACCCACAGACTCACTCCCTGCCTGTCGTGGTGATCTCCAACATCTGCCAGATGCCCAACGCCTGGGCGTCCATCCTGTGGTACAACATGCTGACCAACAACCCCAAGGTAGCCCTGCCCCGGCCCCCACTGTCTCCCCCAACCCGCACAGCCCCACAGCCCAGCCAGCGCCCGGCAGCCCCTGCTCCCTCTCTCCCTCGCAGAATGTGAACTTCTTCACCAAGCCCCCGATCGGAACCTGGGACCAGGTGGCCGAGGTGCTGAGCTGGCAGTTCTCCTCCACCACCAAGCGCGGCCTGAGCATCGAGCAGCTCACCACACTGGCTGAGAAGCTGCTAGGTGAGCAGCCACCCTGCCTTCCAGCCTCTCCATCCCAGCAGGGGTGGGGGTATTGGCAGGGGCTGCTGAGTCTCCTTTTATTTGTAGCCCAGTCTGGTCCCGAACTCACAGCGACCTCTTGCCTTAGCCACTCTACTGCTGGGACCCATAGACGTGCGCTGCTGGCCATGCTTGGTCTAATTTTTCTCCCTTCAGAAAAACCAGGCATGATGGAGACGGGAGGCTGAGGCAGGAGGATTGAAGGCTTAAGCTCAGCCAGGGCAACTTAGCAAGTTCACATCTCAAGATAAAAACGAGGGCCGGGGTTGGTGCTCAGTGCCAAGGCCCCGGTTCAACCTTGAGTACCACAGGAAGAGACCCTCTTGAGCCTGGCACGGTGGTGCGTGCCGGCAGTAACTGCAGCCCCTCCGCAGGCTGAGGCAGGAGGGTTGGGAGGTCGGGCCAGCCCAGGCAACTTAGTGGGACAGGCCTCAGCCTTAAGAATCGATTCTGGCCTAAACTGAAGAACCTCACCTATTCTTGGTCCCCCACAGGGCCCGGCGTGAACTACTCAGGCTGTCAGATCACGTGGGCCAAGTTCTGCAAGGTAGGCGGGTGGGCCCAGCCGGGTGGGCACAGCTGGGTGGGCACGGCGGGTGACCACGCTTGTGCTGTCCCCAGGAGAACATGGCCGGCAAGGGCTTCTCCTTCTGGGTGTGGCTGGACAACATCATCGATCTGGTGAAGAAGTACATCCTGGCACTGTGGAACGAGGGCTACATCATGGGCTTCATTAGCAAGGAGCGCGAGCGTGCCATCCTCAGCACCAAGCCACCCGGCACCTTCCTGCTGCGCTTCAGCGAGAGCAGCAAGGAGGGCGGCGTCACCTTCACCTGGGTGGAGAAGGACATCAGCGGTGAGCACGCCCCCTGCGGGCGGATAGCGGCATGGCGAGAGGTGGGGTTGAGGAGGGGGTGGGGCCGAGGAGGGCCGGGCCTACGCCAATACCTGCTGGCTTTAGGGCTCCTGCAAGGGTAGTCTTCCAGCCAGCTGGGCCTGGTGGCGTACGGGTCATCCCAGCGCTCAGGAGGCTGAGGCAGGAAGATGGTTGCAAATTTGAGACCAGCCTGGGCTACAGAGTGAGCTTGAGACTAGCCTGAACTGCACAGCGAGGTTCGGCCTCAGAGCCAAGCTGAGGCCAGACCGAGCATTTCCATATCTGGCCCCAGAATATATCCCCTATCCCAGTGTGCTGCGGGGTGACCTGGCTGAGTCCCATCGTCCTTTCCTCCGTGCCCCACGGCAGGCAAAACCCAGATCCAGTCAGTGGAGCCGTACACCAAGCAGCAGCTGAACAACATGTCCTTCGCGGAGATCATCATGGGCTACAAGATCATGGATGCCACCAACATCCTGGTGTCCCCCCTGGTCTACCTGTACCCCGACATCCCCAAGGAGGAGGCCTTTGGGAAGTACTGCCGGCCCGAAAGCCAGGAGCACCAGGAGGCTGACCCGGGTAGTTGTTGGCTTTCCGTTTGCGGCACTGGGTTCCTGGGCAGTGCTGGGCCCCGTGGGATCAGGGAGGGAGCGCACAGGGGAAGGGCTGGGGACACTCGGGGCGGCTTTATTCCCCGGGAGGAGGGCAGGCAGGGCCACCGTCCCTGTCCCTAGTCCCCGGGGGTCGGGGGGCCACACACGTGCGCGCACCCCAGCTGGGGAATCGGAGTGGTTCCGACTCAGGAGGCTTAGCTGGAGCCCCGTGCGCCCCTCAGCCTGCCTGGGAACAGATCCCGCTCTGAACCTCTGTGCGCGCTGGTCCCGCCCCCTGCGGAAGGCTCCCGGGCTTCCTGTCTGTCCTTATCTCCCTGCGCACCTTGGCCTTCAGTTAGGACTTCTGTTATCCCTGCACGCTGCCCTTTGTTCCTGCTGGGGAGGAGGAGGATGGGGTGCCAGGACCCCAGGAGATAGGTCCCCCTACAGGGGACCACACTGAGTGCCCAGGGCACACACAGGTGGCCAGGAGCAAGTGTATGCCCGGGTGAGGTGCCCCCCCCCCCAAGGAGCTGCCACCACTTCCTGTTGCCTGGCAAGTGTGTTGGCTCCGATGGCTTGGATGTCTCAAGACGACCCTCCCCCACCCCTCCCAACTCCGAACCTCTCCGGGCTCCGGGCCCCTCCTCCCAGCTCATGCGCAGTGTTCCTCTCTGCTTTGGTGTTCTTCCGGCTTCTGCCTTCCGTCCTGGGCTGAGGCCACTGGCCGTGTCCTGGGAGAGCAGGTCCTCTGTCCAAGCAGGTGGATCTGTGCAACTCGAGACCCTGCCATGGGGCTTCCTTCTACTTCTGAGCCAAGTAAATATGTTTCTTGGCCCACGGAGGCCTCCGAAGACCAACACCCTGCACACTGACTCAGTTTCCCTGGAAGCCCCAAGCCTCATACCTGATTCCCTTCCTGACAGCACTGCTGGCCTCAGTGTAGACTCAGCTGAACCCGCCGTCCCTGCCCCTCGTCTCCAGTCAGGACTAACCGCAGCCACCATCACTGTCCCACCTATGCCTGGGCTCTTGGCTGAGAAAATCCCTGGGTCCTGCTGTGCAACGGTTTATATGAATCATACCGCATGGCACAGATCCTTCCCTCTAGAGAGGCCATCTGTTATTTTTGTTTTTCCTTTTTTGAAACGGGGTCTCACTGTGTATCCCAGACTGGCCTCAAACTTGCAGCAATCCTCCTGCTTCAGCCTCGCAAGCGCTGGGGTAACAGACGTGCTCCGTTACATCTGGCAACCTTTTTTGTTTTTCAAACTTTTTATTTTGAGACAGGGTCTCCCAAATTGCTAAGTTGTCCAGGCTGGGCTGAAACTTGGTGATTCTCTTGCCCCAGCCTCTCCGAGTGCTGGGACCACAGGCAGGGCCACTTCCATCTGGTATCTTTCTCCACCCTGACAATGTGACGGGCACGGGAGGACAGGAAGGAGGATCCTCAGCAGCAGATCCACGGGTGACTGCTGTCCGTGTGTCCCCCTCGGGGCTCTAGTGCGGTGGCAGCTGCACAGGACAGGGACACCCTGCCGGCCTGCACAGGCCGGGATGCAGCCCCCAGCCCCTGGAGCATTGCACTGGCCCCACAGGAAAGGAAAGGATGGGCACAGGCCCCGCTGGGATAGGGCTGCACAGTGCAAGTTGGGATAGTGGGGAGGCCCCCAAGTGAGCCCTGCGCTCTCCTTCCAGGTGCGGCCCCGTACCTGAAGACCAAATTCATCTGCGTGACCCCGTAAGTGGCTTCCCTTCCCCGCCACCTGCGCTGTGTCCTCAGCTTCTCCCCGAGCAGGGCGGCCGGGGGGGGGCACTCGGAGCGGCTGCGCTGTGACCCTCACGTGTGCGTGCATGGGTTAGATGGGCTTTTGTGTGGCGCAGGCATGTGCACACTTCCGTGTGGTATGTGCATGTGTGTGGCATGTATGTGTGTGCGTGGGTGACCCCCTCCACTGTGTCTTGTCAACCCGGCCCCCTCCTGCGCTCCCCATTTCCACAGAACGACCTGCAGCAATACCATTGACCTGCCGATGTCCCCTCGCACTCTAGATTCCTTGATGCAGTTTGGAAATAACGGGGAAGGTGCTGAGCCCTCGGCAGGAGGGCAGTTTGGTGAGTAGGCAGCGCCCAACCTTGGCCCCCATGGTGCCCCGTCCCGGCACACGACCTTCCAGTGCAGAGCCCAGAGCCGCCCCCTGCATGGGAGGAGCAAGATCTGTTTCTTGTTTGTTTCTGGTTTTTGAGACCGGGTCTTGCTGTGTAGCCCAGACTGTCTCAATCCTCCTGTCTCAGCCTCCCAAATGCTGGAATGGCTCACACCACTACACCTGGCTTGGGAGGGGGTCTGAGAGCCATGCTCCCCAGTGGAAATGGAGCAGAAGGGTGTGACAGTAAATTTCCTAAGGCCCCATTAGATACAGGAGGCAAACACTCTCATTCTAGTGTATAAGGGAATATTTTTCCTTTTTTTGACACAAAAAAGGAAATGTGGGGGACTTTCAATGACCATTGCACACCTTGATTGGGACCAGGGACACTGTGGGCAGTCACAGCCCCACATAGTCAGGTGGCCATTACTCAGGGCAGATCATGGTGGGCAGGGAGACCCCATCCTTCCGGGACCAAAGCCTTGCAGGAAGCAAGGGAGCCTGGGGTTCCATGAGTGGCCCAGGCTGGCCTCGAACTCCCAGCGATCCTCCTGCCTCAGCCTCCTGAGTGCTGGTCACCAGTGAGTGTCCCATGCCCCATTTGGAGTCTGGCTTTCTGAGCCTGCCGGCCTTGGAGCCAGCAGCTGACCACACTCTTCCTATTCCCCAGAGTCCCTCACATTCGACATGGACCTGACCTCAGAGTGCGCTACCTCGCCCATGTGAGGGGCGGCAGGGAGTGGGAGCCGCAGCTGCAGGGCCAGGCGCCCCGCCTCCTACCTGAGCAGCCAAGCCCCAGAGCATCTCCCAGCTTGTGGTTCCAGATTTTTTTAATCTCCTACTTCTGCTATCTCCGAGCATCTGGCACTTTCCGAAACAGACACAGAGACGCAAGTGGTGTGGGTGACAGGTTGCGTTATCTCTGAGGCTGTGGCGGAGGACACGGGTAGGGTGGCCACGCAGGTGAAACGGAAGTGTCCAGGTCCCTCTGTCCCCCCGGGTTTGTCCTCAGCCAAGTGCCTCCGGGTGCCTGCTTGTGTCCCAAGTTGGCACCATGGTTGCCTGCAGCTGCACTCAGCCTTGCCCACAATCCTGCCATCGTGTGGACAGGAGCTGTGGTGTTTGGGTCCCTGGTCCCTTTGTGAGTGAACAGCAGCTGAGGGCAGGGAAAGGGACTCTCTCCCCGTGGCAGAAGACTCGGACTCCCCAGAGGCCACCTGCCTTGGGACCTGCCCCTGGGTACCCCACAGCTGAGCAGGGTGTAGCCTTGAGTTTCAAGCTGGGGCCACTGGAGAGGGGCCGTCTGTCCTGGGCCCTACACAGCCAACTTTCCCTGCAGCTTCTCCCCGATTCTGCCTCCCGGAGCCAACTCTGCCACCACAGCATGGCTTCTGGTGATGTCCGGCCATCTGATGGCTGTGTCCTCTAGGAGGCCAGAGGACATGACAGCGGGGCTCGGCCCAGGCTGTGGAGGCGTGGCAGGCACTTCCTCTCCTGCCAGTGCAGGGCAGTGGCCGCCTAAGGAGCCCAGGGCCCAGGGAACCCCAGCCAGTTTGGGGGCCAGGTGCACCCATCCTGCGGTGGGTGAGGAGTGCTGAGGGAGGCGGCCGGCCCAGGCCCCTGGCTGCCGGTTTCTGGGCCAAAGACCGAGTAGGCAACCCCAGGAGCTGAAGCGGGAACCAGAGGGGCCCAAGTTGGGCACCAGGTGCAGCTACCGTGCAGCAAGGACCCCGAGCCCCACCGTGGGTTGTGAGCGGTGCCTTCCCGGCCGCTGTGCATCTCCACTCGGCCTGTGAGCTGTTGCCCTGGCCGCATTGATTCCAATGTATACTTCCTTGTGTACAAATTTATATTATTGTGGGTTTTTTTTTTTGTATATTGCTGTATCTACTTTAATTTCCAGAAATAAAAGTTTACGGAACCATCCAAGAGCCCGCCAAGCCTGTTCATGGTCTGGCCTGTAGGTCCTGTGGGAGAGGCGGGGGGTCGCTGTTCCTCTGTTCTCCACCCTGAGTCCTGTGGGGTCTGATAAGCAACCCCCAGGGCTGGGGTGTGGACCCCCTACTGCCCCTCCCCCACCACTGGTGCTTTTATCATCCTCAGAGCAGGGTGCCGGGCTGGTGGAAGCTGGGAAGCTCCCATCCCACTGCTCCGGGGCCCTGGAGAAGGAGATAGGCAGCCGTTTCCCCTGGGGAGATGTGCAGAGATTACAGCCTGCACCCCACTTCCCTTCTGCCTGTCACGCTGGGCTCTCGGCTACAAGCCCCGTCGCTGTCCCCTGCTGACCTCTACCCCGGGAGCTCCTGTCCTGGGTGCCAGGTTTGCACTGGGGGAGCTGGGCAGCTGGCTGATGCCCCCTGCTGGTCTGTGCTCCCAATGACCAGCGGTCACCAGCTCCAGGACAAAAGTGGGAGAGGCCTGAGTTCCTTCCCCAAGCACACAGAACAGGGCCAGAAGTGTCCTTAAGGGCTGAAACCACATAGGCCACAAGGGGAGGAGCTGCTCCTGCTCTGGGGTCTCTGTCCTCACCCTAGAGGGCGCTTGCAGCCTGCAGCCAGGAGGCAGGCCAGCTGCTTTGTGCAAAAATATTTTATTACAAATACGGGTCACACACACCTGCGCTCTGTGTACAGCGCATGCAGAAGACCCCGCCCTGCGCTGCAGAGAAGCCTCACCCGGCTCCCAGCCGCACCGCAGCTGCAGCTGTCACTCAGCCTGGGACATGGGGACGGGACGTGGGGGCAGGGTCCTGGCCTCCAGGACCTCAGGCTGTTGTGCAACAGCTGCGGCTGCGCTGCTCATCCCTAGTCCGGGTTCCGGCCCTGGGCCACCGCTCGTTCCTGATGTTGTTCCAGAAAGGGCCGGTGCCACCCTCAGTGTCTCTGGGCGCAGTCACCCCGTGTTGGGGACCAGTTGCTTCCTCCAGTCTCTGAGCCAGTTTGCAATGGGAGTGGCACGGAAACAAGGCCAGGGCAGGACAGGACTAAGGGAGGGGACAGTGCAAGGGGACAAGACTAGGACAGGGCCACTCTGCCCCCACGCAGGGGAGCCGAGTTCTGCCCAGCGGTGGCCCGGGCACGCACAGGAAGAGGGGCCATCGCTGCTTATAGGGACAGGTCAGGGCCATAGAGGGGTACGGGACGGGCCCAGTGTGCGCATGCACAGGTGCACACGCACGCACACACAGTGCGGCGATTGGGGGCTGCTGCTGCCGTGCACATGCCCGAGCCCACGCTCAAGACAGGGACCCTGGAGCCAGGGCAAAGAGGCCTTCGGGCGGGGAGAGGCGGGAGTCCAGGCCGCCTGCAGGCCGGCGCAGCAGCTCCTCCACATGCCGGGCCACGTCCATGGTCTCATCCAGGTCGAACTCGGCCTCCTGGTCCAGGACCGGGTCGGGGCTGGCGGAGAGAGGGGTATGGCTAGGGAGCTTGTGCTAAGTGAAGGCCTCTACCGTGCCCTGGGGTGCACACAGGCGTGGCCCTGCCCTCCTTGCCGGACAGCCCCGTGCTCTGAGACCCACTAGGCTCCGGGGTCCCTGACCTTACAGAAGTGCAGCCCTTCACCCACCTTTTGACAAACAAAACCTACTTCTGAGGGTACAGGTTGTACGGTGCCTGGGGACACACGGCCGGGGACAGAGCCTGGTCCACGTAGGTAGCGCTGGCCCCGCTGTCCGCAGATGCAGTCGCAAACCTGCAAGAGGCAGCGAATGGGGGTTGGGGGGCTCAGCTTCCCGGGGCTGTCTTAGGGGGCATCTGGATGGCTTTTCAAGGTGTGGAAGGACAGTGCCGGAGCTGGGGGAGTCAGGCATAGCGTGACCAAGTCCTGCTCCCTCCCGGGGCTGGGCACAGCATGACCAAGTCCTGCTCCCTCCCGGGGCTGGGCCGGGAGTCCCCAGGTGCCAAGGGTTCCGGGGTGGGGGTAGGGTTGGCGGCGAGCGGACACTTACTCAGGGACCACTTGCTTGATCTGTGGCTTCACGTAGCCATCCACTGCTTTTGCTGCGGGGGCAGCGGGGGTGAGTGTAGTGGCTGCCCCAGGGTGAGGCAGGAGTGCACATAGTGCCAGCCCCTGCCCGTGTTACCCCAGGGTTCCAAGGTAGGATTCCCCAGGAAATCTGTGTACTCTGCTGATACAGGTATCCCAGTGCCACCAGCCCGGAGGCCCCAGCTTTGGGACCAGCTCTCCCCTTGCCCACACACCTCTGGGAGAACAGCATTCATGGGGGACAGTAGCCCCCTCCCGAGCTCAGGCCCTTGCACTTGCCAGGCAGGCATTTGTGCTGCTGAGCTAGATCCCTGGCCCTTGGTATTTTTGTTAACCAGAGTCTTACTACATAGTCCAGGCTGGCCGGGAACTCCTGCCTCAGCCTCCTGAGAGCTGGGAGGACAGATGTGCACCACCACACCCTGCTTCCCCTCCACTCTCAAAAAGGGTGTGTATGTGTGTGTGGGAGTGACCTGGCTGTGTCTGTGGCTGGGAATTATCCGTGTCCCAGTGCGGTGCACAAGTGAGAATCTCACCTCATGTCCTGCAGGGCGGACGGTGGGGACTGACCTCTCACTCCTGGGCTGGGAGCCCTAAAATCCCCTCCACCATCTCAGGGACCACGGGGCACACCCAGGGCAGCGGACCCAGGGACCCACCAAGCACGGGCGTGTAGTACTTGGAGAAGACCTCGTCCTTGGGCCGGTCGGGGAACACGTATGCAAGGTAGCTCAGGTCGCTCAGGCGGTCTGCCAGGGACCTGATGGAGAAGTCCCGCGTGGTGAAGGGCTTGAGGTTCCACAGGTTGCGGTCGGCTGTGAGGAGAGGGTGAGAAGGAGGGGGAGGCTGAGGCCCAGCGGGAAGGGGGTGCCCCTGGGGCAGGGGGCATGTGCTTTGGCAGGCTGCTCACGGGAGTCAAACTTCCAGGCGATGGTGACGCCGCCAATCTCCGAGTCGCTGAAGCGCAGCAGGAAGGTTCCGTCGGGCTTGTTAATGAGCAGGTCGTGGGCCTGCTGCTTGTTCACGAAGCCCAGGATGGCGCTGCAGGAGGGGCGGGAGGGTCAGCGTAGGCTGCAGGCTGTGGACTGCAAGCTCTGTGCTTCCCCAAAGCCCCCAGCCTCACCCATCATTCCAGTGTGATTTGTGGTGCCTCTTGAGCACCTCCATGACCCCGTCGAACCACTGCCAGAAGGTGTAATTCCAGCCTGGCAGGTTCTCCTGAGGGGATGGGGAAACTGAGTCAGGGCCTCGACTCTTAGCTCCTGCTGCCTCCCCAATGGGAGTCCCAGGAGCCAGCAGCGAGCTTGCCTTGCATGTCTGAGACTGGGTCATGTTGGCTGCTTTGAAAGGTCTCATTAAGCTGCCCAGGTTGGCTGTGAACGCATGATCCTCCCGCCTCAGCTTCCCCCAGGGCTGGGACTACCCGGATGCACTACCTGGCTCAGCTTGGGAGTGGGAGTTACAAAGAGTGAGCCAGGCCGGCTGGACCTCTAAGGTCATTTCTGCCTCACCCCTTCCTCTGGAAGGTGGAGGCAACTGAGGTGGGGGGTGTCACAAACTGGAAAATACTTGCTGCCCTGATGGCTGCCCCTGCTGCGTGCACATCCTGGGGTCTAGGCCCCAGCCGTTGTCGCTGTGGGAGGCAGAGGCGAAGGCTGCAACACCAGTCCCAGGTGGGCAGACGGCACGGCAGCCATTGTGGCCCCTCACCCTGTTGAACTGCGACCAGGACACGGACATGCTGCTGTAGTCCTCCAGGTGGCTGCTGCTGCTGCTGAACAGCTTCTGCGCCAGGAACACCAGGTTCTCCTTGGTCAGGCCCCTCGCGCTCTGCACCTCGGCCTTGAACTTCATGTTGAGCGCCTCGCACAGCTGCGGCCACAGCACTTTGTCGGGCACAGCGAACGGCACCCTGCCCTGCGGGGACACGGAGCCGAGGACAGGAGGCGGCAGAGATCAATGGATCAGGAGGATGGAGAGCCTTCCAAAAGGAGGGGACAGGCGCAGGTTTGTGGGGAGCAGACCCAGCCCCAGGGGCCAAGGATGGTAACTGTGGACTTCAGCAGCCCTCACACAGGGACCCCAGGGCTGCAGGGGCAGAGGTGACTCACCAGCTCGGCAAAGGCATTGTCCCACAGCACAGTGGCTGTGGCGTTATGATCCTGGCTGCCATGGACGATGACGACCACAGGCAGTGACAGGATCTGCAGAAGCCAGAGAGGAGCTGAGGACCTGGCCCGCCATGGAGCCCCAGCTTCCGAGACCCACCCCCGTGTCTGCTCCCTGTGGTGCAGCCCATCCTCCCACAGTCAGGAGGGCTGACCATGATCTGTCCACCTGTCCCCCTGAAGCCACCAGGTGTGCCTCACCTTGACCTGGAACACGAGCTCGTGGCCGCTCACGCTGAACTGCGACTGGAACAGGATGGCGAACTTTTCCTCTGTCACGGACTCCGTGCCCCGCCGGTCAGCCCGCTTGATCCTCTTCAGTGACTGCAGAGGGGACACAGTGCTGTGACACAGCTGCATGCCAGCCTGGCCAGACGGCTGCCCGCCCATCCACCTGGCCAGCCGCTGCTGTCCCACCATGTTTCGGAAGTGGGCGCTGAGCGTGCCGCTGGCCTGCTGGTACTCCATGACGCAGCAGTTGTTCAGGATCTCGCCACTGCACTCACTGCAACTGGACAGGTGGCCCGGTCAGTGGCTTCAGCGGCCCCCATCCCAAGGGAGCTGCCTGGAGTCCTCTGGGTGAGTCTCCCTCCAGCACCCTGCGAGTGCCCAAGGCCCTCGAGGCTACAAGGAGCAGGCCCACGAGTACATATGGGACGCTGAGGTTGGGGTGGGGCCTCCACGGCCTCTGGAGCTTCCAGGGCAGTAAAATAAAAACCGTGCTGGAGCGGGGCTTGGGTGCACATGCCTGAAATCACAGCTACTCAGGAGGCTGAGGCAGGAGGGCTGCAAGTCCCAGCCCAGTTTGGGCCAATTAGTGAAACCTAAAATTTAACTGGGGCTGGGGCAGGAGTGGCTCAGGGCATTTGGCCCCAGTACACAAGGCCCTGGGTTCCGTCCCCAGCATCTCAGAGAGGGAGGAAGGAAGCAGAAAGATCGACCTGGGACCATGGTCTGCCCCAGCCTGTCCCTGGCCTTCCGAGTGCCCTCCTCCCTAGGACACACAGCCCTGTCCAGCTGTGATGTCACTGGTTTAATTTTATCTCCAGTTCATCACTGTCCAGTAGTGCTCTGTAAGTAGCACCAGCACTTTTGGGGTAGTAGCACAGGGGATCAAACCCAGGGCCTCCACACTGAGCTACATTCCCAGTGCTTTCATATACAAATACTTTGTTAATATATATTTTTATCTTGATACAGGCTCTGGTTAGCCTTCTGAGTTGTCCAGGCCGGACTCCCTTCACCACCCTCCTGCCTTAGCCCCTGCCTGGCTCTACCTTGTTCCTTTTTTTTTTTTTTTTTTTTTTTGTCTTTTTCATTTTTATCAGTACCAGGGATTGAACTCACAACCGCCTGCTTGCAAGGCAGGTGCTTATGCTGCTGAGCTAAATCCCCAGCCCTATTTTGTTATTTTTTAAATAGGGTCTCACTGTGTCTCCCAGGCTGGCCTTGGACCCATGGCGGTTTTGTTTCAGGGAGAGAAAGTGACCAATGCCTTTGCTGACCTACTCTGTGAGGGCCAGCTCATGGCTGGGGAAGGGGTTTTGCCCATGCCAGAGGTGACCGGGACCATGGGAAAGGGCATGAGGCTGGCACAGAGCCCGAAACAGCAGGCCAGCTCCCTGGCAAGGACAGTGGGGTGCTGAGGGCGGCTCCAGCCACCTACTTGTGGGTGCTCTCGCTCTTGAGCAGCGCCTTGGCCTGCTGCTCGCTGATGATGGTGGCCTTCACCTGCGGCGGGTTCATGTGCACGTTCAGCTTCCCACCCACCAGCAGCCGCACAGTGGCTGCGAACTTGGTCTGCGTCTTCAGGACCTGCGGGGGCTGCTTCTCGATGATGAAGGTGCTGTGGGGACACAGGGGACATGGGGGACATGCTGGCTGGCTGGCTGCTGGCCAGGGAAGGACGGGAGGCAGGCAGGGCGGGGCCAGGCAGCAGGGTCACCTGGTGACCAGGGCTGAGATGATATCCGTGATGGTGGCGTTGACATCGGCCAGCATCTCCTCCACTGGCCCCGGGATGGGCAGCTGCTGGCACAGGTGCTCAGCCCTGCGGATCTGCTGTCGGTTCTGCCAGATGAGCTCGGCCAGCTTCTCACACCTGCAGGGCCCAGATAGGGACCATGGCTTCCCAGTGCCCAGTGACCCAGGGCCCGGCCCCATGACCTTGGGGAGAAGAAGACAGGGCCTGGGACCTTACCGCCCCCACCTCCCATGCCCCTGCATGGCTCCTGCGGCCCAGCATGGGCCGGGCCTCACCAGGACTGCAGCACGTCCAGGCTGCCCTCAGGGGGACCCCCATTCCCTGCCAGCTGCTGCCGCCGCTTCCACTGGATCAGCTCGTCGTCCAGGATGACCGTCTGTTGCTTGCGTAGCAGCTGCAGGGTCTTCTGGTGCTTCTCGGCCAGCTCCTGGGGGCAGACATGTTCCTGAGCCCCAGCCCGACGGCCCCAACCCAGCCCTGGCCTGGCCTGGCCACTCACCACTCGGTACCGCTGCAGGGTCTGTGCCTCACGCTGCAGCCAGGCCTCCAGTGTTGCCTGCTTCTGCTGCAGGGCCGACTCCCGGCTCAGCCGCTCCTGGGGGCTCACCTGCGCCAGCTGTGTGAACTGGGCTGAGGGGACGGGGCCACCACCGTGTCACTGCTTTTGTGCAGGGCAGAGGACCCTGATCACCCTATGTGGCCCCACCCAAGGGTGGGACACCACATCTTCGGCCCCAGGATGAGACCTCACACCATGGGCAGGTGGGCTCTTCCTTGGCCTCCTGTGGGACCCCCGCCACCCACCCACCTGCCTCCTCTTGTGGTGTGGGACTGGCCCAGACCACAGTGATGCCTGTCCTCAGCTCTAACCTAGTGAACTCAGCACCAGCATTTTCATGCCTCAGTTTCCCCACATATAAACTGAGGGAGTCCTGGCCCCGGGCCCTTGTGGAGGTTAAATAACCGAGGACAGAAGATGCCAAGGAACCGCCTGGCAGGCGCTCGGTTCCAAGTGGATCCCCACTAGCCCTTGTCAGCAGCACAAGTGACAGGCAGGAACCACATCCCAGCCCAGGAAACCCTGCTGTTTCGGAGTCAGTCTGGGGTGGATTCAGATGGAGGAGACCCGCCTGACTTAGCCTGTGGCTCCGGCTCAGGGTCTACTCCAGCCCTAGCTCCTAAACGCCTGATACAACATTTCCTCTACACCTATGGCTTCCAGAGATGCATGTTTGTGAAACACTTACCATACCCCAAACCCAAGGCCCAGGGCCGCTTTGCACGCGCACACTCCTGTCCCTGAAGCCACCCTGCAGGCTCACCCTGGACGCGCAGGCTCTCCTGGTACTGGATGATGAAGTACTCCTGGGCCTGCTGCAGCTTCTTGAGCTCATTCTCCATGTCCTGCGTCACCAGCCGCAGCTCCTCAAAGGTCTGGTTGATCTGCAGGTGCTTCTGTGACAGGGTGTCGGGGAGGCTACTGGCTGGGGAGCTGCCCTAGGACAGAGGGGCACAAGTGGCCAAGGCTGGGCAGAGAGGAGGGGAAGCCTGGGCCTGTGGGACAGCAAACTCCAACCCAGGGACAGAAGCAAGGGCCACTTCTTGCCAGAGTAGGGTGGGAAGTGGAGAGGGGAAGACAGGTAACATGGCGGATAGCAGTGCCTTCAACAGGGGGCCTTCGTGGTCAGGCTTGACCCAGGTCTGGCTTGAGCCAGGCCCCGCAAGGGTGCAAGGGGTGTGCTGTGGAGGAAACAGAATTCACCTTGGAGACTCCTGACTAGCATGACATTGGAGCCCAGAAACCTCTTCGCTGGGGCTTGTTCCTATGAAAACTCACTGTGGAGCCCAGACTGGCCTGAAACTCGTGATCTTCCTGCTTCAGCCTCCCAAGTGCTGGGGTTATAGGCTGAGCCGCCATGGCAGGCTCCCTCATGATTCATAAGGCCATCTCTGATTCCCGTGGACTTTTCATGTGTGTGCACACATGCTTGTGTGTGCACACGTATGTTTAAGGTCCCTCTTGCATTCCACTGGTCTGTTTGTTCTTGGCCGCCCAGCATCTCATTTCTACACTTGGCCCATTTTACAGTAGAGGAAACAGAGGGGGTTGGGATGGAGTTTGGTAGCAGAGCCCCAGTTCTGAGCCCTGGCACCAAGGAAGAAGGCAACAAAAAAGAAAAGAGAAAAAAAGAGCTGAGTGTGGTGGCACATATCTGTCATTCTAGCTATCTGGGAGGCTGAGGCAGGAGGATCACAAGTTTGAGACCAGTTTCAGCAATTTAGCAAGATGCTGTCTCAAGATATAAAACTCTTTTAAAAGGGCTGGGGCCAGGATTTCACTGCCAGTGCCAAGGAAGAGGAAAAGAAGAAAAGGGCCCTCAAGAGTCCTGCCTCCTGCCGGCATTCACAGCTGGGAGACACCAGCATGGGGACTGGTGCCGGGTGCCCCGGGCAGTCTCGATGCCGCCCTCACACCGGCCAGTGTTGTGGTTTCTCTCATGTGCTCCCTGTGCCAGCGTTTCACAGAACCACAGTCCTGCTGGAGAAGAGTGGTGGTACCCGCCAGGGACTCACGTTGGTGGCCTCTCGGACCAGCCTCTGCTCATTGTACAGAATGTGCCGGATGCAGCGGACCAGCTCCAGGGGGCAGCGGTCATACGTGCTCTGCAAGACGGGAGGGCCAGCAATGCCACCCTGAGCTCCGGCCACACCTGCCCTTCTCCTCCAGGTGTGCCTCAGTTTCCCCGAGATGTCCTCAATTTCTGGCCTCCTACTTCTGCAGAGGGCTCTCATTTCCCTGTGCTCCCTCTCTTGCCCCCACCCCTGCCTGGGAGGAGCTGCATCCCCTTTCTAAATCTCTACTCACTGCCTTTTTCCCCAGCTGGTTACCTTCCCCACCCTCATAGTCTTGGCTTCAGAGGAGCCCCAGCAGATGGACAGACCCCTGGCCACCCCTTTCCCTCATTTCTTTTTTTGTTTGTTTGCCTTTTTGAGGCAAGGTCTCTCTATGGAGCCCAGGTTGATGCAGCAATCCTCCTGCTTCAGCCTCCCAAGTGCTGGGATAACAGGTGCGTGCTGCCTTGCCTGACTTCTACCCTCATTTCCAAAATCCAGGGGTCTCCCAGTGAAGGACTCCTGACCCTGTCCACTCCTGTGTCCTGACCTGGTGCCCTGCAGTTCAAACAGCCCCTGGGGCAGGGACCCTTGCCTCCCACGCCCCCTCCTCTGACTTTGACATTGGCTAAAGGTCACTGACTGGGAGAGGGGGCGGGGGAAGTTGTGGGAAAGTTTCCTCGGCTGAGGGGCAGGGGTGAGTCAGGGGCCAGGCCAGCAAAACTCCCAGGGGCTCTGAGGTGGACAGGAAAGTGCCGCCCGCGCGCACCTGCAGCTGCATGGCGTAGTGGCCCAGCTTGATCTTCAGCAGAAACCCGTCCTCCCCGACCTGGTGCTCTGCCTTCCTCTGTAGCTCTTGCACCAGGCCCTCCAGCAGCTGGGCGGCCTGGGCATGGTCCTGGGGGCTGTCCACATCGATGGCATCCCTAGGCCAGGGCAGGGGACAGAGGCTGCTGTGCTTAGCACCTCCTTCGGCGAGGACCTCAGGCACCCAGGGTGACGTGTGGAGGTGACAGGGACCTGAAGGGCCACGGGGCACGTGTGCCCCGACTGGGTGGGTCCCTGCTCCTTCTTCCCCAGACACCACCTCTTCTCTTGGAGTGCAGAGCGGGAGATGGGCGGGATACCCACCAGGCCTGGCTCTCTATCCACTGGGCCAGGTAGTGGCGCACCTCGATGGGGAAGTGCTGGCCGTACAGTGCCTGCATCTGGTGCAGCGCATCGCCCTGCAACTGTTGGGCACGGATCCAGCTGGCCATGGTCACCTGGGGAAGAAAGGAAAGCCACAGTCCTGTGACTGTCGGGTCCCACGGAACCGAAGGAGGGACGGGTGAGGAGGCCGGGCTCCGCGGCTGGGTGAAGGGAGTTGGGGTCCGTGGGCAGGCCCCCCTTCCTCCGCGCTGTCCCCAGGGGCTTCCCGGGGAGGGGCACCCAATATCAAAAGAGAAACCAGGCGGAAGACCCGGCCCTGGAGGGGTGCGAGGGCTCCAGGGAGAGGGCCCCAGTCCACGCCGGGCAGCAGCTGCGGCCACGCGCCGGCTGGCCGCGTTCCTGGACACCTGGTGGCCGCCGTCCAGGCGACAGGTGGGGAGGCCGGACCTCCTCTGGGGACTCGCGGAGCGGCGCCCCTCTACCTACCTCCGTGCCCCGTGTCCGGGATGGCGGCGACCCCACTTTGACTGTGGCTCCGGGTACTTGACCCCCTGTCCCTGTCCCCGCACCGTCCCTGCCGTCCCATCCCTGCTTCCGGGACCCGATTCCCCGTGCCCCTATCCCGTTCCCTCCAGTGTCCCCTGTGCCCGCCGCCCCGCCCCTGGTCACGCACCTGGGTTCCCGCTCCCCTCGCGCCGCTGCTGCTACAGGAAGAGCCAGGACCAGCGATTTCCTCAAAAGTCAGCTGCCTCGGCTCGGCCAAACACAGCGCGCGCCGCCGCCCTCGCCAGCCGCAGCCTCCAGCCTTGGCCTCAGCTCGGCGCCCGGGGGCATGGCGATGGGCGGGGTGATTGCCGGAGAGGCGTGGCTGGGGCGGGGAGGGGAGGGGCGAAGGGCCGGAAGAGCGTGGGGAGGGCCCTGCGGGGAGGGGCTAAGGGACTATGGGGCGGGGAGAGGGGCGGGGAGGGCGGGGAGAGGGGCGGGGAGGGCGGGACGAAGGGCGGGACGCCCGAGCCGGGGATCCCCAGGCTCTGGAAAGTCCGACTCCACACTGGGTGCTGTCGTGTGCAGGGTGCTGCAGGGGAGGGCGACAGCGCCAGATGCTGCCCAGCTCTGCCCACGCAGACTAAAAAATGAGCATGAGAGGCAGGCACAGAGGTGCACGGCTTGAACCTGAACCTGAGGAGAGGCTGAGGCAGGAGGGCTGCAAATTCAAATCCTGCTGGGCGGTTTATCAAGACGCTGTTTCAAAAAGGGGGAGAGGGGTAAGGGGACTGGGCTGGGGTCACAACTCAGTGGCAGTACCCCGGGATTGTTTGATCCCCAGTAGCAGAGAAACAAAACAACAACAACGAAAAGAAGAGCGCGTGTGACTGTGTGCGTGTGTCTGCGTGTAGTCACGTGGGCTGCGGCCACAGCTGCGGTGACCTCAGGTGAGCTGCGGGCGGGAAAGGCCCGGGTGCTCCGCGGGTGACAGAGTGATGTGGGCCGGGCCAGGGCCCCAGATGGACCCACCCGCCCTGGAGCCTCGCGGGCTGGGCGCCCTTGTCCCGCCCTCCCGGCGCAGCACCACAGGCCCTGGCACCTCCAGTCCCCTTTGCCCTCGCCTCCCGCGCCCGCCCTCCTGGCCCTGCCGCCGCCCTTTCCTCCCCATTCCTCACCCTGGGCCGCCGCCCCGGTTTCACTCTCCTGACTTGGGGGAAGCACGCAGCTTTTCTGTAGAAGTCGAGATGTCTGGGTTCCCCCGCCCCCCCCCCGTTGGACTACGGGGAAAGGAATTGAAACGCCCCGGGGCGCGGGGAATTTGGGGAAACCTTGCTCTCCAGATGTGGGGCTGGGCGGGGGCGCCTGGGAAAAGGAAGCCCGATCTGCTTTCCTTTCTCCCCCACTCGGGCTGCGGGGTGCCTGCCCAGGCTGGGGTCCCCTCAAGTGTGGCTGAAGCGTGGGGGGGGGGAGGCCACAGAGGAGGTGGCCGCTCGCTGTCACCACATCGGGCCCTGTCGGGTCTCAGTGTGGGTGGCAGAGCTGCCTGCCGGGCTGGGCCCTAAGGAACTCACGCTGGGTGAAGCAGGCAAAACTGCACGTGCGAGCTGGGGTCTCCAGCGCCACTGCGCAGGGCCTCTCCCTGCCTCTGCCCCCTCTTGCATGGTTCTCTTCTTCCCTGCCCCCACTCTGCCTGGGTCTCCCCTTTCCTCTGTCTTTTCTCCTCCAGGGGACCCAGGAGGGGTGGAGGCCCGGAGGCCGCGGAACGGATGGAGCCCAGGTGGCCCTGGGTAACACAGCCTCCAGAGACCCCAGAAAGGGGATTCTCCTTGCTTTCGGCCCCTTGGCTTGGTCTCTATTTCCCATTCCCAAGAACCCCCATGGTTTTAGGGTACCAGAAATAGAGAGGAGGAAGTAGGGTTGGGGTTCAGGAAGACTGGAGTGCGTGGTCTTCTGTCCAGGTTGTAGCACTAGGTGTGGAGTGAAGAGGAGGCCTGGGGGCCCAGCAGGCTGGCCACGCTGTCTCCTCTGCTGCCCGAGACTGGCTCCAGAGTGCCCCTCCTAGATCCCCAAGCCCAGCACTTGCAGGACCAGTACCCCCTGCCATCGCTGATGTTGCCATCCCCTGCCCGCAGGGGCACGAGACACACAGATGGGGTCACCCTGGCCTGGGGCAGAAGGCTGCCAACCACTGAGTCCCTCCTTCAAATCTAGTTCCTCTGCCTGGGGGCAGGGGCAGGGCAGGGGTGCATGGTCCTTGGAAGGTCCCTGTGCCCAGACATACAGGTCAGGGGCACCCTGGGGCGCTGAATGACCTGCTCTGGCTCCCTCCCTGCCCTGCTGGAACTTCTGTCCCCACCCTGCCAAGCTCGAAGTGTTCCCTGCCAGGAGGGCCAGGCTTTCTTGTCCTGAGGGCAGAGGAGGTCTGGGAATGGTGGTGAGGAGTTGGGTGTGAATGTGGGCTGGGAGTTGGGTAAAGCCCTCCTGCCTGTTCCCACCTTGCCCCTTGCTCTTCAGGGAAGTCCAGTTACAGGGAACCAGGGGAAAAAAGGGCCGTGGCCTGAGGCAGTGACTGCCGGCTTCTGGGAATCCCGTGCTGAGAAAAGGGCAGCACGGGTGGTGGCCCTGCCTCCTGCCCTGTGCCAGTGCCGGTGCCCACCTGCCTGGGAAGCCTGGCCTTCTCTCTGCCCATGGGAGGAGGGGACAGCTCTGTCCCCTGAATATCTCTGTCACTCCCTGGGGAATGGAGGGGACAGCATGGGCCTGGCTGCCAGCCTGAGCCTGGGGCCACTGGATTTCACACCCTGGGCCGATGGCTATCGCCCCTCTTCCCCTCCTCCTCTAGCCCAACAAGGGCCTCTCTGTGCCTGGCCAGCCTGGCACCCTTGGGCTGGGCTGCCCCCGGCTCTTCCTTCCCGCCCGCGGTCTCTGCCCCACTGTCTCCTGGCTTCTCAGATCTTTGTACATTATAGTTTTTATTTTTTTATGCATCCACATTGGCAGTGCATAGGGAGTTGAGGCACAGGTGTGATGGACATTTCTCGACCTTTTCGTGCCACCTCCCATCTCTGGGTCCCCTTTCCATGCAAATCTCTCTCCCCGTTTCCCGGGGCACCTACTTTACTTTGTTCTTCAGTTATACTCTGGGTTCCTCAGGTAAGAGTCTGGTTTATGTCAGTTAGCACCATGGCTGCATGGTGCATCTGCTACCCTCAGGGACCCCAGTTCACCCTCCTTGATGCAGTCACCCTCGGAAGCTGTAGGTCATGGGGACGAGAAGGCAGGGTGACGTTCCTCCTCATCAGGGTGAGTCAGCGTGGCCTCTGGAAGACGGCTGTGCTGTAGCTCTCAGGAGGCTGAGGCAGGAGGATTGCACATTCCAGACCAGCCTGGGCTACATACAGAGCCTTGTGTCAGTTCAAGAGTGAAAGAGATTCAGTCCAGGGCCTGCCATGGAGTGGTCTGGGCAGCAACCATGTATTCTGCTTGGCCCCTTGGCCTCTGCTACATTTGGTATCAGGAATCGAACTCGGGGCCTTATGCTTGCCAGGCAGGCTCTTCAACCTCTGGCTAAGCCTCCACTGTACTTGGGTCCCTGAGAAGCAGCTGCCCACAGGGACAACATAGGCCATCACAGGGTTCACATGTGAAGGCAAGGAGCCTGGTCCAGACCCTGCCCACCACACCAGGAGGCTCAGTCCCACGGCCCTGTTTCTCAGGGTGGCAGACACGCCTGCCTCTGAGTTCTCACCTGGCCTCACAAGCCCTGCCCTCCTAGACTGGACTCCGAGTGGAGAGGGCACAGTGACCCTACCCAGGAACAAGGTGACACCACCCCCCACCTCTGCTGGAAGAGAGCCTAGACAGATGAGACCCCTGGGTGTCCTGCAGGTGGTGGGTCCTGCAGGGACCTGCACAGCCCACGTCACCTCCCTAGCTCTCAGGTGGAGCGGGAAAACCCACTTTTATGAGGGAGCACCCTCTGCCTCCAGACACTGGGCACATCACACACTCTTGTTTTCTGCTTTTTTTTTTTTTTTTTGCTTTCTTTTGAGACAGAGTCTTGCTGTGTAGCTCGGGCTGCCCTTGAACTCACTATGTAGTCCAGTCTGGCTTTGAACTCACAGGGATCCTCCTGCCTCAGCCTTCTGAATGCTGGGCTGACAGGTGTGTACTACCATGCCTGGCTCACTAAGTTTTTAAAAAACTGCGTTTCGTCAGTGTTCCCACAGGCAACACACAGTGCTGGATTCCACTCGGTTCCGAAGGACAGACGAGGGAGAGTGGGCTTCACTCCAGTGCCTGTGTCCCTCATGGAGGGGCACCCGCTGTTTTGGGGGTCAGGTGAGCCCCAGACAGACCTCACACACTGATGTGTGCAGGTGGCGGCTTGCACTCGAGGGGAAGCTGAGCCCTGCTATGGTCTGTAGGTGGTGGAGGTCTCACAAGGAGGGTGCTCTGTAAGCGGGGCTGACTGCACTGCTCCCAAGTCCGCTGCCTAGGGCCCTGGGCTCAGCTGTCCAGCTGCTAAACTTCCCTGGCCTCCTGGCCACGCCTCCAGGGCCCTGAGCTGGTGGAGCACCCATGATGCCCTTCCATGGCTCGTGTGCAGCAGGTGGCCCTGGGGACAGCTGGGCTCCTGGCACTCAGGGGTGGCAGAGGGAGCACTGGAGCCAACCCTGGAAGGAGGGACGGTTAGCTGTGGCTTCAGCTGTGCTCCCAGGAGGTGGCTGCCTCCTAGCCCCTGGCAGTGGGCGAGGGAAGACAGAAACAAGGCTAGCTGCGCTCTGCAGCATGGGGTCCCCGCAGAGAATGAGGCAGGGAAACCCCACTGTGCAGGTCTGAGCCAGGACTAGTGGCTTCTTCCCTTAAGAGCCTTCTGGATCTCCTGGGTCCTAGATTCTTGCTTAGTTTCTTTTTTCTTGTTTTGTTTTTGGTCCTAGGAATTGAATTCACGACCTCATGTCTGCTAGGCAGGGGCTATTCCCTGAGCTATATTCCTGGCTTGTGGTTTTTGAGACAGGATCTCGCTATGTAGTTCAGGCTGACCTTGAACTCACTTTGTAGCCCAGGCTGGCCTCAAATGTGTGAGGATCCTCCTGCCTCAGCCTCCCCAGTGCTAGATGACTGCACATAACACTGAGCCTGGCTTCTGTTCAGTTGCTTTCTAGTACTCCTGTGTAGTATCTCCAGCTGGGGTCCCCTAGATTTAGGGACCCAGGCCTGTGAGACCCTAAGAAGAAGCTCCTCACTGAGGCAGTGGGCAAGAGTGGGCATGGGGCCTTGCATCCTCCTCTGGTCGACAGTGTTCTGCTTTGCTGAGGCTGTGCCAACTGCTGGCTAGATGGGTCTCCCTGGTACCTGCTGATCTTTGGAAGAATCAAGTGGCACACCTGCTATACCCCTGGGCGTCCACCCTGGCAGACTGTAGGTGCTGCTTGGCAGCAGCCTTGAGAACTGACTCCAGTCCTAGTCAATCCCCCCTTTTGGGGTAGCACAGGGGATATCACCCAGCGGTGCTCTATCACTGAACCTACACACCCAGCAGTCTGCATTTTTTGTGACAGAGTTTTGCAAGTAGCCCAGGCTGGGCTCAATCTTGCAGTCCTCCTGCCTCAGCCTCCAGAGTAGGCTGGGCCTACAGGCATGCCCAGCTTTTGGTAACAGATAACAGCAATATAGTACTTACAGGGGTTTGTTTTGTTTTGCTTTTTTTGAGACTGGCTCTTGCTACATAGGTTAGCCCGGTTTTAAACTCCCTAGGTAGCCTTTGCTGGCCTTAAATCGGTGGTGATCCTTCTGCCTCAGCCTCCCAGATGCTAGGATTACAAGCATGAGGCCCCACACCCTGCTCCCGACAGTGAAGTAGAAACCATCACCATTATCACAGATGAGGAGACACACTCGAGGTCACAACTGCTCAGGGTGCGCAGTCTGATTTTAGACCTCAGGCTCTTATTTCCTGTGCTGTTCCTGCCTTGTCTGTTCCATTCCCAGCACACCGCAGAGATGTGGGGTGATGAGCTGGGCAGCGTGGGGGGCCCTGCAGGGAAAGGCGAGCTGTGCACCCTCCGGGGCAGGGGCAGGGTGAGCAGAAACTGTCCCTCTGTAGAGGGTGCAGGCCCAGGCTGGGTGGGACGGGGAGGGGCGGCTCCAGGGCAAGCGCAGCCCGCGTGCGCAGTGACACTGGGCCCCCGGTACCCCGATCCCGGGCACCTCGAGGCCCACGCAGAGCCGCAGCCCGCCGGGCTCCACCTGCAGGCGAGGGGCGACGGCCGCGCAGCCCAGAGCCTGGAGCGCGCGCCCCGAGCGTTGCCAGGGAAACTGCGCCAGCGGGTACGAGCGGGGGCGAGGGTGACTCGGCCGCCCGCCCACGCGCGGACGTGATCCGAGGCCCCGCGGGGTCAGTGCCGCTCACGCCACGCCGCGTGGGTGCGGGGCTCCCGGGTGGCGGCCGCCGCATGGAGCCAGCCCGGCCTGCGGTGTCGCCGCACGGTGTCGCGGTCTCCGGCCGCCGCTCGCCCCGCCCGCTCTGTGGGGCGCGGGCGCGCGCGGGCGGAACCAGGAAGCGGCGCTGGCGCGGAGCGGGCGCGCGCCCGGCCGAGCGGATCGCGGCCTCGCGGGACCAGGAGCGGCGCGGGCCGGGCCGGGCGGGCCAGGTAGGAGCGCAACGGCGAGGGACCACCACACCGGGACCCGAGCCCGGTCTTGAGCCCTGGTCTCGCCCTCGCTCCGGCCGCGGGGACGTGGGGGGCTGGGGATCGGGGACCCAGGTGATCCGGACCCTAGGGATCGGGAGTCCTGGGCCATCAGAGACTCCGGGCGATCGGATACCATGGAGATTGGGGACCCTGGGCGATTGGGAGCCCTGGGTGATCGAGAACCTTGGGGGACAGGTTCTGGGGGACCGAAACAGAGGGGCTCGAGGGTCGTGCGCGGGCTGCGACAGGTGTGCGGTGTGGATTTAGACCCAGCGCTGAACCCCTCAGGGCAAAGGGGCCTCTGTCCACCACCTGGCACCTTCCTGTCCCTTCCCTCTTCCAGTGCGCCAGAGTCCTTGCGTCCCCTTAGTCTCCCCCCCCCCACACACAAAAAGGTGCCTGTGCCCCCTCCCCAGGGCGAGATGAGCCTGAGGGTGCCCTGTGGGATGGGGTACCACAGGCTTAGGAACCAGCACCTTATAAGGACTCAGACAGGGAGCAGAACCTGCTGTGGCGGGGCTGCTGGTCCCACACTGCCATGCTGGGCAGGGTGTTCTTTATTTCATTGCATTTTATTTTTAGAGGCAGGGATAAAGCGCACAGAAGTGGCCCCAGGCTGGGGTGGGGAGTGGAGGGGTTCTCCTGGGCCGGACCGGTGTTTGGACACTTGCAGCTAGCAGGGATGGAGAGAGCAGAAACACAGGAGAGACCCAAGCACTCGTGTGGTGTGCGGGACGCCAGGAGTGGTAGAAACCATGAGGATTTTAATGCCACAAAGAGACCTGAGTTTCCACCCCCAAGCACCTGGCGGGGGGCTCGCTCTGCTCCCTGGGAATCCCACTCTCCCTGGATGCCAGCCCAGCAAAACTGGTCACTGAAGCAACCTGAATGTGTGTGGCCCTGGAGCAGACTAGCAGTCATATCCTCCTGTCCTTGGTCTCCCAGGGGTTTTGAGGGGTGCTTCAGGTGCCTAAGCATGGGCCGGCTGCTGGGCCCTTGGGTCCCCCCCTCTCCGGTAAGGTTGTCGCTGGCATCTCCGCCCAGGGCTCTTCACTCCTGGTCGCCATGGCCCCATTGTCTCCTTCTGAGTTTCTGGAGTTCCTGGAAGGGGACCGAACTGCTTGGTGTCTCTTGTTTCTCTGATTTCCTTCAGCAGCCACTAGGACGTAGGCCGCTGGGTGCTGGGTATTTCAGGTGGGGTCCCCACCCTGCCTCATGAGCGTGCCAGGATTGGGGTTTCCTGGTCCTGGAGGTCAGCGTTTCTCGGAGGCCTAAGGTGTTAGGTCGAGCGCCCTGAATAAGGTGTACCCGCGGTGGCCCCACGTCCAGGGTAATCACAGCTGCCCACTGCCTGCTGGAAGGTTCTCTGCCACCGCCCCCTGCACAGGGGTCTGGCACAGGCCTGGAGCCACATGCAGAGCTGTCCTGCTGTGCTGTGTTGTTGTTGTAGTGTGAGGGAAGGGCGATTCCTATCACAGCCACTCGGCCCTTGCGTAACTTGGAGTCAGAGGCCCTGGACCCTTGGCCGCACCCGGATCAGCCGCTGCTCCCCACCCCTGCACACAGCACAGGCCAGGTCATGTTTAGAGGTTCAGGGCCCACCCGGTCCTCAAGTGTGTGCTGGGCGGCACGGGCCGGGGGAGGAGCACGTCGTAGGGTGCTGGGTTACACCATCAGGATTCCGGCCTCACTTCCTACCCTATCTTCCTCCTTTCCTGTGGGTTTTGTTTTTGTTTTGTTGACAGCTGGGGACTGACGATGCCTTTGAGCGTTGTGTGTGTGGGTGCTTCCTTTGTTTTAGCTTTTGTCAAATTGTACCGTGGGGGCTCAGATCGTTGGTAATCTGGGCTTGTTTGTGAACATGCTGTCCGGGGTCCCTCGGGCTTGCAGTGGTGCAGGTTGGGGAGCCCAGTGGTCTGCATATGCTTTGTGATCCCAGCACTCAGGAGGCTGAGGCAGGAGGATCACCTCGAATCGGAGACCAGCCTGAGCTGGGTGGTGAGACCCAATCTCAAAAAAAAAAATGAAAAAAAGGAAGATGTGATGACGAGGTGAAGCACAGATTAGAGGTGAAGTTAGAATCGCAAGAACCCTAACTGTGCTGGCCACAAGGCTACAGGGCCTGTGGGTATCGTAGAGGTATTCACCAGTGTGTGGATTTTCTGTTAGTCATGCATTTCCCCCTGGTATGGGAAGATAGAATATAGGTTATCATAGTATTCCTACAAAAGATAGCAGAAAAATCTTCTAAAAAAACATTTTCGTGAGTTTTTAAAAGTTTTTCTTTTAATTTTCATTTTCTTTTAGCATTTGAAATTTATTCTTTTAAAAAGCTACCTGGCTAGTCCAGGTTCCTGAGTCCTTCAGAATATCCTCTTGACTATGTACTATACTATCCAAAGACTTAAGCTCTGGAATTTTCAAATAAAAGTGATGTTTAAAAGGGAGCTCTAAAGTCTCACTGTTCCCATGAGAGGTTGGGGCAGGTGGACCGCCATGCATTTGAGGCCAGCCTGGGCTACCTAGCAAGACCTTGTCTGGAAAAAACACAAACAGACAGACAAACAAAACAAGTAAGGTATCACTGTCCCAAATGTGTCTGGTGCTTAAAGGACTATTTTTAAAAATCTGGATTTTGTAAATAAAGTTATTCTAAAATCAGAACTGTCGCCCCCCCCCCCCAGTGTTGGCAATCAACAATTTTATGCTTATTTCTGGTAATGAGAAAGTCAGCTTTAAGCCCCAGTTTCCAGAGACCTGACAGCTTCTTGTGCGTGGAGATCCAAGGTCACAGTGGCAGAAAGGCTTTTAAGTTTTCCTGCTGATGTGAGAACAGTGCCCGTCCCCGCTTCCAGAGCAAACCTGAGCTGTCCTCGAGCGCCCAACCCGAGCCATCCTTGAGCGCCCATCTGGCAGGTGCCGTATAGGGGCAGCAGGCAACACCTTAGCCTGCAGTTGAGGCCTGGGGACGTGCTTGCTTTGTTAGCTGGAGTCACACCCATGGCTTCCTCGGGAGGTGGCTGCCTCTGCAGGGTTCGGTTTCCTTTTTTTTAAGGTAATATTGGGGTGGGGGTGCTTCCTGTTTATATTTTCAAAATTAGGCCCATGCGGTGCCTTCTTTCTGGCCGCGGGCGCCGTCTCTGAGCACCCGAAGGCAGCTGCACGAGGCGGTATGTGGTTTGTCCCGGGCCTCGCTGGCCCTGCTTGGCAGCAGCTGCGGGACAAGCAGGAGCTTAGGCAGCCAGAGAAACCTGAAAACAACTGCAGCACCAGGGGCATGGTTAGCAGAGGAGGGGTGCTGCGGCTTCCTCCCCGGTACCGGGAAGATGGAGTGCACCGTGAGAGAGAGAGACAGAGACAGATAGACAGAGGCAGAGACAGAGAAGGAGAGAGACAGAGATAGTGACAGATACAGAGCAACAGACAGAGATGGACAGAAATAGAGAGATGGAGACAGGGATAGAGATGGAGAGACAGAGGTAGAGACAGAGATGGAGAGACAGACAGACAGAGGCAGATGGATACAGAGAAACAGAGACGGACAGAAGCAGAGAGATGGAGACAGAGACAGAGATAGAGACAGTGAAAGACACAGACAGAGACGGAGAGAGAGAACGAGCCTTGAAACAGGCTTTGCAGAGCCGCCGTCGGGGTCTGGACCGCAGCCCCTCACATCCGAAGCAGTGGCTGCAGGTTTTCTGACTTTACCTAGAGCCACACACATTGTCAGGACAGCGAGGAGCTGGTGTGGTGGCGCAGCCGTTCATCCCAGCGCTCGGAAGGCTGAGAGGCAGAAGCATCACTAAGTGTTCCAAGCCAGCCTGGGCTGCATAGTGAGACCCTGTCTCTCACACGCACATACCCCAAAAAACCCAAAAACACAAACAGAAATGTAAGGTATGGAGGTGAAACAAATGCGGGAGAAACAAAGCCCTTCCTGACAACTTTTAAATGCTCATTCCCCTCCCCCTTTAAGGTGCTGGACCTGGAACCCGGGTCCAGCCCCGAGGGCACTGCCCAAGGCTCCATCTCCTCCCCGGCCCTCAGGACAGGGCTCCATCCCTGAGGCCCACACCGGTGGCCAGCCCTGTGCCACGGTTTGTCCCTTCCTCCTGCCTCAGGTTCTCGGTGTGCCTAGGCCACTGCCTGCCGGGAAGGCTGGGCCTGACTCATTCGTAAAATTTACTCAGACCAGGAGCCTGGGTGATGAGATTCTCAGAAGATGAAAACTTTCCTCTCTCACTGGGGAGCAGAGGCTGCAAGGGGCAGGGGAAGCACACGGGGACCGGGCGCCACGCCCTGTGTCCGGAGTGAGTCGGTGACCGTGGACTCAGCAGCCCAGCAGAACGGGACAGACCCCAGTGTTTCCTAGTGCCGCTTGCCTCCCCCATAGGGGATTTCTTTGCATATAGGAAATCAAGCCAGAGTTACCAGTAAGAACCACAGCCATCATCTGTCTTGAAATAATTATTTAGCAGGGGAGTTCAACCTGGGCCTCGCCCGGCAGACACTCTCATCACCCATGTGACAATTACCATGCCATCTTGAAAGAAGTGAATGGAAAAAAATTTTTTAACTGGGTCTGGCCATGTAGCCCAGGCTGGCCTTGAACTTACTGTGTGGCCCAGGCCAGTC